CCCTTGCATTACTGACCTTTCAAGTGCAATGTACAGTGGCATGTTCAATGACATGTATGGATTCATAACAAAAAATGCTATGCATGATCATTTTATTATTTCAATCTTAATTCTGGTTCAGATGAAGCACGAAATCATTATGTCACAACTGCGCCTCCATAGTTTTTTGCTGGTGTGCCACTTCAGCTTAGATTATCGCCCTTTGTAGGCAAACAGAGGGCGCTTGGTAGTTACTTCCGGATAAGATTGAAAGTGTGGTGAGTGACAAGTGCATTTGAGCTAAAATTATGGCATAAAATGACATAAGTGATATCGTTTGATACCATAATGTGTATAAGTTCTGCAAGGGGTCCTCACTTTCGAGGGGATAGCGCCCAAAATGCGGCATCATTTGGGAACTTGCGTGTAACCATTGCCTAGATGGAGGTTTCGTTGACATGTATAACAAGTCACCACAATGCGCCGATGTGAATTGCCGCTTTGGTGGAGAAAAACATGTTTTTTCTACACTTTGAGGGCGATTTTCTTATCCCGATCGGGGTGTTAGTTCCCGAACGGGCTCAAGTACCCGTTCGGGGGTTGTACCGAACCTGTTGAATGGGCCAGCCTGAAGACGACGCTGTGACAACTATGCATGTTTGGCAAATATTCATGTGCTATTCATGCAACATTGCCTTAGTGCTTTAGCAGTCCACAGTCTGTTACATGGCATAGGTTTCTGATTCACACAGCCAGTGTCGAGTACGATTATCCACGGCATACCCCATGTAACAGTGTTATCGCCATTGCCGAAAAACGTTGTTTGTCACCGAAGTACTAAACAACGTAATCTCTCGCCGTGACCTACTTACGGGCCCTATAGCATTTTGATTATATGAAAATTTATGCATTAGTAAACTCGGTTCTAAAACGTAACATTTACATGTGTTTGCAATCATGTAACTTTCTAAATTTCACACGAAGCATTTTGTTAGTCAGAGCTGAAGCAGTCGACCTCCTGCTAAAAATAACCTGCCTGTCGACATAATATCGCTAATAACCGCGAGAAATGAACACGCAGACGGCCGACCGAAAACAGATGACTCGAGGATACCAAGTCTGTAAGTGATCAAAATCTTGTAGTGTCACGAATATTGGGGATTTTATACCAACTTGGACATATCATTACTTTTTCACGCCCTTTCCGGCAGGGTTGCTCTTACATACACTCAATAACGTTAATTCCTGGTAATACCGCGAGAATGGGAGAAGCCTCGTTTCGTCAATGGCGGATCGTATTGTTTATCACCGGACTCACGAGTGGTAATTCACCTGATGGATCTGGCAGCTGATAAATGTAGATGTTAGACGAGAAGGCCCTTCATTTAAAAACAACAAGCATGAATACGATAAGAATTGTTTGTGTTATTTTTTCAGCCGATATCCGTAAGTACCGCGAGAATAGGAAATGCCTTCATACATGCACTCGCTGCCAGTAAGACTGTATATGAATGATACATGTACAAGACATACACGGCTTGAGCGTCAATTCGAGGCAAGGGTACATACACTCGCTGCCAGTAACACTGTCTATGAATGATACTCCATGTAGGTATTTCGGGTACTCACCGCGCAGCTGTCACTGACTTGAATGACAGATTTCTCGTGAAGTCATTTAATGATATGGATATCCTCGCCACGAGGAAATTGCTTTCGATCGACCGCTTGTATTATATTGAGATGTTGCATGTATCATGTACATCTCGTGCTGCCGTAATTAATAAATAGATCTTGTGACACCGACCCTCCTTGCATTTGTCGTCTTATTGCGAAGCGAGTGCTCATCAAGACATCAGTCATCGAATCGAGGGTACGGGTAATTTTTACATCTTTCAAAGTTTATGATTGTTTCTTAGATCATATTTGTGTTATACCAATGAATGGAATCTGCGCAGCGAAGCGATAACACTGTATATTTTAGAGATGAAAGCAAAGCATTGTGGGATAGGGAGAAATCATTGTTGTTGTTTTTCAAAGGGGAGTAATCGTAGCCTAATGCATATGAAGCGTTATAAAGTCGCCTTTGCTGTAATTATCTCGTGAACGATATTGATGAAAATATATATATAATACGTGTACGTATGGATATTGTAATATGGACGATAAGTATCTATGCTTATGTGCATGGTTACTTTTAGTACACGTTAAAGGCAGATGGCTAAATGTTTTCTTCATTGTTATTAGAACGTTGTTTGTTGATTGTAAATGTCTGAAAGTCTGACTAACAGGTTGAAATGAAAAACTGACGTAGACAAATGATTTTATACACATCGCTGCAGAATTACTTACGCAAATATTATAAATTATACACAGATTGAACGTTATGTTATGTGGTTGTACTTTTAAGTATAAACAATAGTTGATTGACCAGTGTTACTCTATGAGATGTGAACGACGGGTGCTACCGCTAGGGCAGGACACGTTCATTCTGTTGGCGAACACCTGGTGTCATCACTGTACTCCAGTGATTCATTCACAATTTCCAACATGAATTGGTACAGAATGTGCAATGATATATCTTTCTACCTTAGTAATATGTTAAAAGTGGTGAATGATTTTAGCGGGTTTTTTCTATACAGCGTCCCTATTCATCATTATTTTGTAAGTTTTAAATATAAAAGAAAATGATTACGCTATGACATGTCCACCATGAATATAACAATACATATATTTATAAAGGTTTACTATCGTTTGTCTTATAGCAATTATGGAGAAAGACTTTCTCAAAGAAGCTGGTCTGCAAACATTTGCAGAGACACATGACCCAAATCTTATTCCACCTATCGATGTGGGATTAATTACTGTGGGGTTAGTCCTCCAACTATTTAAATTGAAACCTACCTGGAACACCTTGAACAGCTGGCTAACTAAACTGTTCAACTTCAAAGAACCTGTGTGGACAAGCAGGAAATTAAATACAAAAATAAAACAACTAGACACCAAGAGAAGGGCCTTTCTGAAGAGCAAGACACCCGCACAAAAAATTAAATTGACGCAGTTTCTGCAACAGCCATTTGATATGACAAGCAAAGAGAGGACAAGACCACCCAAGACTGCCCTAGTCCAACCCAGCCCAGATGCAAATACCCCTTCACCCCCATCAGGACCTCCGCCCGGATTTCATATGCCTCAGTTCCCCATAACAGTCAACCCAACTACCTATATTTTACCACCCCCTGGCTTTCATATTTTACCCCCTGTTCCTAACCCCTGGCCCACCAACCCATTTCATCTTCAGTCTTTTAGTTCTACTTCCCAATTCTCAAATGAAATATCTCCCACCTTAACACCTTTGCCTTCTGTTAAATCCCACCCCGATACCAATAACAATAATGTACCCCCAGCGACAGTCTCTACGTCTTCTGGTCCCACTCCACCCATTTCCGATCCTCTCCTACCCGGTCTTGTATCTTCTCCCGCTACATCTATGTCCACTCACAACCCCAGCACCGATTCCAATTCCAATTCTCACCAATCTTCTCTCTCTCAAGGTTCACAATCATCCAAGGAGTATATAAAGTTACAATCACAAAACAAGAAATACGCTAAGAAAGTGAAAGAACTGAAACATATGCTGCATCAAGTACAGAAACAAAAAGATAAACGCTGTTCCCACGTAACCTCAAAACGTTTTATTAATGCTCATGTTCAGACACAGATACAGACTGCAAGAAGTGTGACCAGTTACAAATGGACATCGATAAGCTGATTACAGAAGTTGAATCGAGACCCCCATTGGAACCTTCCGGTACCAAATGTAACTCCAAATAAACAGACATCGACTTAATGAAAGGGAAGGCTTATAGTGACGACACGGTTAAATGTGTTTTACATCTTTTGGCTGAAAATGTAGGTTATTCACACGTAGGGCCTGTTATCAAAGCCGTTCTTAATTTAGTTGGGCTTCAACCCAAGGCCCTCCATCAGTAGCTACGGTAGCTGAAATGGCGAAAAAGAGAGCGCCATTAAACAGCATGTTTGTTGCACAACAACTTTCGGATACGACGGACACGACACTTTACAGTGATGAGACTTCCAAATTTGGGCAGAGGGTTCAAAATTATATCGTGACTGACGCTGGCGAAAATACCATTTTGATAGGTATGAGAGAAATGGCTGATAAGTCGGCCAATTCCGTTCTTTCGACTCTCAAAGAAATATTGTCGGATTTGGACAGTGTAACTGACGTGACAAACACTGGTAAAAAGATAGTAACCAGTATCAAAAATACCATGTCAGATCGTGCAGCAACAGAAAAATCCTTTAACTCTCTGTTGAAGGATTACCGAACGGCGCTTCTTTCGGAAATCATACCGGGGTGGCGTGTCCTGTCCAAACGTGAGCAAGAGTCTCTGGGCAACATGCACATTCTTTTTCAGAAGTCCTCCTTGGGGTACATATAAGCATTTAAATGTCCATTTAAAATCCTACGACAGTTGTAACTATATTTTTTTAATAAAATATTTACAAAACAAAACACTCGTTTTGTCTTGTAAGACCACCCCCTACAGGGCCTCACCGGACCCCCTACAGCCAAGAGCAGGTAACTCTTGCCGTCTACCTCGTACCTCACTTTTCATGCTGTCGTTCTGTTGAATAGACGTGCGTGGTGCTCGTTTCGAGTTTGCTCTCCTACCGATACGATGAGTGTAAAAGAGTCTCAATCTGTATGTATGGTTCCTTTCTTTACGCACGGGCGTTAGATGGACTTCATATGTTGATATTCTCATTCATCATTTGTTGTAACTTAACCGTGGGTTCTCTGTTTTCCAGCCTTGTGGCAGGCAAAATGGCGGACCGCGCGATCGTGGTTTCCTTGCTATATGTTCTTGGTAGCTTGTAGTAGGGAGTTCATATATTATGTTTGCATATTATATGGTAGGCTTGCCTAAATTGTCTTTCTTTTCAGCGAATTTGTGGTAAGTTGGCGTTGAGTAATTTTGATAGTGTTCGTTTCGTATCACTCAACTTTGCTCTATCACTAGTATGTACACGCAGGTGTGGCTAGCCCAGTTAACACAAAACATTTTCATAAGGTTTCAAAATAGTTTTTCAAAAACATTTTCTTCAAATTTTTTTTGGAACATTATAAAAATGTTTCATAATGTTATTGAAATGTTTTTAAAATGTTATTCAAAAACGTCATGCTATGACATGAGTGAAACTATTTCATAAGGGTGCAGGCTAAAACGGAACCACAGCAAAACGACACCAGGCGAAAACGGCACCATTTGGACCTCGACTTGGCGAAAACGGCTACAAATCTTATGGTGAAAACGGCACCAAATAAAATTCTAATTATTGGGAACATCTTATTTGTCATTAGATAATCTGAATACAGAATTTTGGAAGCCGTCTACTCTGCCGACAGTGATTGGAAAGTTTGTGTTAGCTGATAATCGGATTCCAATATGTTTAGATAATGAATGAGTCTGACTGATAATCGGCTTGTAGAATGTTTCGATAGTCAAAACATCTACTGTGCCGAGAGTGATTGGAAAAGCCTGTAAATTTAGCGTGAAAACATCACAACCTTTGATCTTTTAAGTACATTTACTCAACTCTTTTATCGTCTTTATTATAATCTTGTTATTTTAATGTAATGGGTGATTGAGTGAGTTATGATTTTACGCCGCTTTTAGCAATATTCCAGCTATATCGCGCGTTATAATCTTGCTGAAATAAAAACCATAAGTCAACGTCATACTGTGTTTTTTATATGTTGATTCTAATGTTATAATTAAACGAACTAAAACATAAAAGTCAACATCATACTGTGTTTTGTATATGTTAAATGTTTAAATGTTTTTAAAATGTTGTTCAAAAACGTTATGCTATAACGTGTTTGAAACCATTTCACAACATATTAGTGAGATGTTTTAAAACGCTGCAGGAATGTTATGCAAGAACATGTTTAATGAAATATTGTCATTGCGTTTTAAAAACATTGTGCACACATTTATGCCATATCACACAAATAATGTCTAAATCTCTCAAAAAAACTGAAAATGTTTTCAAAATGTTGTTCAAAAACGTCATGCTATAACGTGTTTGAAACCATTTCATAACATATTAGTGAGATGTTTTTAAAACGCTGCAGGAATGTTATGCAAGAACATGTTTAATGAAATATTGTCATCACGTTTTAATAACATTGTGCACTCATTTATGCCATATCATACAAACAGTGTGCGAAATAGCCACTGGCCCGGTAGCCCATGGCTAGTTAAAATCCAGTCGGGCCAGTAAATCTCCACAGTCACTGGGATCATTTTGTAAATATATCAGTCTCTCCGACTTGTTAATTTATGATACACTTTTAAATCATGCAAGATTATGGCCTGATGAAAATGTTAATCATATTAGCAGCTTAATGATGAAAGCCGTGCCATATCATACAAATAATTTGTAAATCTCTCAAGAATACTGAAAATGTTTTTGAAATGTTATTCAAAAACGCCATGCTATAACATGGGTGAAACTATTTAACAACATATTAGTGAATTTTTTTTTAAAACGCTGCAGAGATTATGCAAGAACATAATCATACACATAATGTGTGAATATCTCAAAAATACTGAAAATGTTTTTGAAATGTTTTCAAAATGTTGTTCAGAAACGTCATGCTGTAACATGGGTAAAACTATTTCATAACATATGATTGAAATGTTTTTAAAACATTGCAGAATTGTTGTGCACGAACATGTTTAATGAAATATTGTCATCACGTTGTAAAACACTGTTTCTGTTGTAACGTTGGTGTGACAAAAACAGTACATACACTGCAATCACAAACAAGTATCTCACTCAGCCACGTTCTAATGTATGACTTGTCATTAAAGTGCCTAAAACGTTCCTGAAATGTTTTAGCCGGATCTGTCATCACATTTAAAAATTATTTTTTTTATTATGACTTGTTCTTAAAAGGTTTTTGAAATGATATCACACCTACACGTTTAAAAATGTTGCGACACAATGCCTCATTGTTACCGCGGGAAATGACGTCCGAATGACGTCACCCTTCACGTCATAATTTTGCACCCGCCATCTTAGTAGAAGTTTATTCAGGGGCCGGATTCACTAAACTTCTTAGAATTTTCTTAAGCCTTAAGAATTCTTAAGTCCGGTAAGAATTCTTAGTTTCCATAGCAACCTATCTAAAACTAAGATTTTTGCTTAAGCAATATTCATCAAACTTCTTAGTGCTTAAGATTTTTTCTTAACTTAAGAATCATCCATAGGTTACTTAAGCACTAAGAATTTTGTTAAAGTAAACAAAGATGGCCGCCCATGCAATCATCGATAGAACCAACATTTTAGAAAAATACACAGAAACAGAGTTGACACGAAGATTTAGATTATCAAAAGATGGTATACAATTTGTAGTAAGTCTCATTTCCAATGAAATTTCACCTCTCACTCAAAGAAGTCATCCTTTATCAGCTACTGACAAGTTCTACTGACGCTGCGTTACTTTGCCACGGGCAAAATGCAGCTGTGTAATGCGAACCACATTGGTGTTTCACAGTCTTCAGTGAGTAGGGCCATAACCAGGTTCAGGACACCCCTAGAAACAAGGATAATGGGTCATTCCGGTGATTAGCCCTAAAAATAGGGATTGAACAAGCCCACCTGGGGTATAAAAACGGGCGTTGAGCTCGCTCGCGGTCTTCCACAACACTGGCGAGCAATGGTATGTTGACATTTTGCACCACGTGCGTGCACGTGAACACCGAGTTATTCAGAGAAACTCGGAATTTACCGCACCTTGGTCGACTGGTCCGAAACAAATATGACCTGCCTCGCCATTTTGCACATTAATGCCCGTCAACAGTCATATTAAATGCTTTTATGTACATTCATGTCACTCACCGAGTGGAACGATGTCTCCCCTCTGCACACTACCCGGAAGTTGCACTTGATGCGCACACATACTACCGCAAAGGGGGCGTAATTCGCAGTAGGGGTCGGAAGTCGCTAAATATCTATGGTGTGCTCTCAGGGCCATGTGCACATGGTGAGAGTCGCATATACATGACAGAACCCATTACAGTATTTTGAAAGAAACGTTTAATAATGAAAACAAGTACACATGCATTGAAAGTAAACGGAACTGAAAGGCATTTGGTAAGTGGAATGAAAAAAATAGAAATAATGGACACCTGCGTGTTTTTGGTCTTTTGCAGCGGTCATGAGCTTTTTGCACAAAACAAATCATTCAGTGTTTACAAAATATCATCAAAGAAACATGCCAAGACCATCCATGACACGTTGTTGAAATTGGGTTACCTAAAAGCGAAATCAACATATATCTGCACAGCCTGCATAGATTATACGAAAGACAATTTAATACAACCAGAATTATCACAAGACGATATTGCCATTGAGACACTGTGTAGAGCGATTGACAATGACAGGCTCAGTGCAGCACACATAAAAAATCTGTTTGATATAGTGGGAAAACTGGCAAGGAAGGGCATTGAAGGAGACATCGCAGAGATATCTGGCCAGTACCAACGGGATGGGTTTTATGATAATTACGCGTTGGCACCGTGGCTTAAACAAAGACATTATCCGTTGCTAGAATTTCTGACATCGTTTGGAAATGTGAATGTCAATGGTTTGGAGAATGTAGAATCCCAAAAGTCACTTCGCATACTCTGTACAATCGTGGAGCACATGTACTGTCTTGTGTCACCAAATATTGTCACCCCATTGGCATTCGTGACAAACATGTTAGCATACTTCATAGCTGGCAGCAAAACTGCACATCTCCTGCATCACAGCACGAGTCCCTGTGGGACATACACGACAATACGTAAATGGATAGACAGAGGAACTAACGTCCCCAATAGCTTGCCGTCTGAGGGCAGTGTTTGTATTTTTTTTTGACAACAACCAGGTGCTGCAGAAGAATTAGAGGGTTTTATTGAACTTTAGGTCAAAGTGTAGTATTATGACCAATTTCATTGCCATTCAAAACCCGTACAACAACATACAGTCCTCGGTAGCGTTTTCACCCTTTCACTGGCTCCACAAAGTGTCTGATGGTAACTGCACTTCACAATTACTTGATATGAGTGCAGCATGTGAAGCACACCTGAGGCCATACACCACTGCTTTCATCCAGTCTGAGATGAAACGCGTGCAGCAGACATTGTGCCGCCCACATCCTGATGGAACCATGACTGACGCCATTGCAAATGGTGAATTTGAGTTCACTGACACAGGGGGTTTTAAGACCACAGATGATCTCTATTGTCTTGTCGACTCGCACCATCCCCAATCACCCCCGAACATAACACTCGCGGACCCCATAATGGTCAATCCTTCCAGCTACGACAGCCTGAAGCAGGTCCTAACATCACTAGGTCATCAAGCAGGGTTGGGGCAGGAGAGACAGTGGATAGTGGTGGGATGCGATGGCTCACCCTACATCCTCGTTGCCCGTATGATGGAGGACTGGTTTGCCTGCAGTGAATGTGGACAGGAGTTCCGCATCGGCCCCACCACATTCTTGAGACACTTTACGTCCAAACATCCGGCGAAGCAAGTGGACGCCAATCAGTGCAAGTTATTTCAACACATTGTGCTACTGCCCGGTGCTGGCCATGTTGAAATCAACTTGCTCAAGTGTCTTTTCAAAGTCCTCTGGGAACCCCTCCTAAAGCACATTGCACTGTTATGCGGATTCAGAACCCCACATGCATTGGCATATGCCCAGTCTTGTAGCAATCATCACAAGGCATGGCAGATGTATCTCATTTTGCTGTATGCATGCCTCAGGGAAATCCTATTTCAATACTTGACCCGTACACCAAGCAACCGTGAAGACGTTGATGTAACTCCCGCCGATGTTGATGAGTGGATTTCAGGATTACGTTGCCCAAACTACCGATTCATCTGGAGTATTCTGAATGAGTGGCTTATCCCCATCTTCATCTTTCGGTGTGCAGTCAGGAGGAACAATCCACGTGCCATGCTCGCTGCCATGGACACGGCTTCAACACTATTCTATGGTACCAACGCCACAACATATATGGAGCCGATGTTCCGAGATAACCGAATGCGTATGAGAGCTCCCCAAGAGGTCCTCGATTTCATCCACCATGTAGAGGTACTGTCGTTGAGTGGACATACCAGCAAAGGGGAAGGTGGCGACTTCATCCTGGAAGGCCGTAACCGTAGAGTGAAGATGTGGGTCCCCCCAGGCGTTCCAACGGAGCACACGTGGCTCAGGAGTTGTCGTAATCTCGACAGAATGGAAAAGGTAACTATAACTCTTACATAATCCATTTGGATAATCAAATTCAATAGAACATAATGAATGAATAACTGCTACCAACAGAATTCATGTTATCGCGGTATAATTGCTCAATGACATTTTTTATTTTTTTTGAACCGCGTGAGCCATTGTTTGATATAAATATATTATTATCTCACCATTGGTAATGTGGGTCGTGGTGGTGTAGAGGTAGCGCGTTAGGATGATTGACATAGTGGTTCAGAGTCCGAACCCAGGTGATGGCTAAAATTGTTTTGGCAATATTGTTATCCACATGACGTGGTGGCTATCATTCAATAAGAGACAAACACATACATATGTTTCAGAATATTTTTTTTAATGATGATTCCTATTTTAGACACTTATGGGATGATTGTTGTGAACTGGACAGTAATATGACATGAATGCCTAGGCATGTCAAATGGACCCAGTGGTCACAGTTGCCGCTCTGGTGTTGACATCCTATCCAGTACTTGTGGCGATGGGTGTCATGATCAGCCGTGCTGTCATAGATAATGCTGCACAGCCGACAGTCATCCCTGTCCTTGGTTGTCGTTTTGGCCTGCCTACGTTTCCTCGTTGTCATGTGACAAGTGCCAGTGGTCTCATTCTGAGGCTTGATGGTTGTGCTAGTGCTGGTGCTGGGCTGAGATGTCGAACTGGTGCTGGGAGTGTTAGTGGTGCTAGTGCTTGTGTTGGTCATGCAATGTGGGTTAGTAGTGGCGCTGGTGGTAGTTATTGTCTCATGACTAGTTACTGGGGGGTGAACAGTTTCAGTTGATTGTAGTGTGACGGTTAATGTAACTTTGGTTTTAGGGATGGTAGAACATTTGGTGGTAGAGGCAGTGTTAGTGGGTGGTATTAGATTGTGGGGTAGCGGTGGCATGGTCAGTGTTGTCTGTTTTGTTGTCATGGATTCCTGCAAGTCAATAACCGAGAGTCATGTGGTGTATCTATCACACATTTTGCATAACATTGTCCATATACAATTGCGCAATTTTAACATCATCTTGTTGTCCTACTCATTTGATGGTGTATTGTCATATACGTATATGATGTTTCTGTTTATCGTTGGCATTTGTCATACTTACTGGATGATAATCTCCGGTGAAGAACTCCAATGGGGCATTTCCATCCGGGGTTTCAAATTTCACGTTAACCCTCACTCCCGTCTGGATGTAGATTTCCTGTAACTGGTTATGAATTAGGGGATCTAATGTTCATCATATGCAACATGATTTGTATATGTATTGTTTACAGATCAGAAGCAAGGTGCTGCAACACTTTTCGTTACTGAGCGACGATGTTTTCAGCACCACTGATGACTCGTCCTTAGAGGCAGAAATCGCTGGTTTCCGGCATTGGATACGCCACAGTGGCTACTTGTCATCACCAGATACCATCAAACCACTCACTGGTTTGGACCACGTTGCCTTGGATCCCGTGATGGACAGTTGCGTAGCGCACTGTCGGGGAAATCGGCACACTTATCGGTACGTCATGCAGTTGTTTTCATGTATTGTCCGTGTATATCATCATCACACGGACATTTCCTTTGCATTCACACTAGCATGTCATAGTATTCAAGTTAACATCTTACCAACATTGCATAGTCATGATCACACCGTCATCTGCCTTACATCACGTAACCAGTTTACTATCATTTTGTGTATTGATCATTATATTATGAATGGGTCATGCATTGATTGCTGTTGTGACGTTGGGTTCATTTGTGATTAGATCCAGCACAGCTGACGGTCTGTCTGCAAAGAAGAAACGCCTGGTCCCACTGTTTGTCCTGCCTGAGCACAGAACACTTTATGAGCAGCCCCAGCGGAGGACTGCTGCAGAGCTGTCCACCATGGTGACAGAGAAAATGGCCACGTTATCGGTATGTATATTTCGGCAATTATTTCTAGTGTTGCATGTCTGTTTTATACTTCCGCATTCTGTGCACTTATCATGCTCAGTTCATCAAATGTTTAAAGGTTGACAACGCTCTGACACAACGGTGGTCGCAGGTTGTCAAAAAGGGAAGCAAACAGGACATCTTGCAGTTTTGGCTGCAACTCCAGGAGCTAGAGGGCAATGAGGACGTACTGGGTTACAGATTTTCATTACCTTCCTAATCACGGTCATTCTTTTTTGTGAAAAGGTCTTTGCCTTTCTTTGGGCATCTGGCAGATACCGTATCTGTCGCGGGCCAGTTGGGTGTGGACCAGTTGTTTCCAATGGTGTTTCATCGACACCAGCACCCGACTCCTGCCCCGTCCATTTCATCCTTGGCTTTTTGTCCCTTGGATCCTATGCAACAACTGAATTATATTAAATGCCGTCTTCAATGGTCGGGGCGGTGGGGTAGCCCAGTGGTTCAAGCGTTCGCTCGCCACGCCCAAGGCCCCGGTTCGAATCCCCACATGGGTACAATGTGTGATGGCCATTTGTGGTGTCTCCCGCCGTGAAATTGCTGGGATATTGTTCCTAGCGGCGAACCACCATTCTCACTCACTCACTCTTCAATGTTCACATTTATCATTTTTTTTTCTCACACAAATGCTATTTCCACACCCTCTGGCACCGGATTGACGACTTTTGTCGTTCAATTCTTGTGCATTGTGTAAGGTGTTTTATGGTCAATTTGGGCTTCCGTAGATTCTACAGACATCGAGGGGTGACTAATCATTACGTCCCTTTGCGGAAGTTCGTGTGCGCATCAAGTGCAACTTCCGGGTTGTGTGCAGAGGGGAGTCTCTCGTACAGACCCTGAAGCAAATATATCCAAGAAAGCCCACACAAGTCTAGAAAATGTGGCAAGTCTAGATTTCCTCAGCTTCAGGGTCTGTACCAATCTGCTGAATTCACAAGCCAGAATATGGCTTGTAATTATCAGTTGATCTTTAGCTGTCACTAGTGTTTAATATTAACTCATGGGAGCCTCCTCCACCACTCCCCAAGACCCCACGCTGAGCCAAGACCTCCTGCTTCTGCCTGTCCTCTCACTCCAGACAAACAACATGTGTGATTACACTAAAGACCTGATGACTTATAAAATCTGAGTATTTTCTTTAACTGTTTCATTTTACACTGGCGAGGAGAGGGATCATTTCGAAAAGTTTTCCATCTCAGGGTAAAAATGAATTGGAACTTTGATGAGGATGAAAGAAAATATACATAGCATTCGTCCAAATCAGAATACGATGATTGAAAAGTACTTAATTAAGTGGTGAAGATGTGTTGTTTTGTTCTCCATCCAGGAGTGGAAAATCACTGACATTCGAAATTCTCCCTATTCAGGCAAGTCAGTAGAAAATACAAGCCATGCTACTGTTATTGTTGTGTCATCCTTGATTTACATGATGAAGAGACTAACAGAGAAATATAAATCATTAGGCTCAAAGCAGTGTACCTCAACGATGTAGGCATTTGTGACTTTACCCATAAACTTTGAAAAGACATTGTCATGGGGATCTGATGGCATATTGTTATCCCCCACAACAACGAAGTTGCGGGGAATATAGAAACGAGTTCCGTCCGTCCCGTCCGTCACGCTTTGTCCGAAGCATATCTCCTCAACTATGTGATAGCTTAACCAAACTTGGTACAAATGTCAAGCATGATCCCTAGATGTGCCTTTTGGGGGTTAGACCCAGATATAAATGTTATTTTTTGTTGTTTCCATGGAAACATGACTTAGGCTGTGACTATGAGAATGTCATCGTGTCCGAAGCAAATCTCCTAAATTATACATGCTAGCTTCATCAAACTTGGTACACATATCAAGCATGATCCATAAATGTGCCATGTGATGGTTAGACCCAGATATGAATTTTATTTTTTGCAGTTTCCATGGAAACGTGACTTGGTATACATGGTAAACTTGGTACACATATCAAGCATGATCCATAAATGTGCCATGTGATGGTTAGACCCAGATATGAAGTTTATATTTTTGCTGTTTTCCATGGAAACATGACTTAGGCTGTGACTATGAGGATGTCATCTTGTCGGAGCAGATCTTCCAAACTATACATGCAAGCTTCATCAAACTTGGAACATATGTCAAGTATGATCCATAGATGTGCCTTTTGGGGTTTAGACCAAGATATGACTTTATTTTTCCGGTTTCCTTGGAAACGTAACTTTCCATGGAGGCTGTGGCTATGAGGATGTCATCTTGTCCAGAACAGAACTTTAAAACTGTTGAATTTTTCTTCACCAAACTTGGCACATAGATAGGCCTGGTGATATACTGGTGCCTTTTGGTAGTTTTAGATTTCTGAATAAAACATATTTTGTGTTTCCATGGCAACAAGTTTGACTTTGACTGAAATTGGTGGTAGTGCTCTTTTCCGGAGCAGAACTTAAAAACCTTTCAATACTCTCCTTCCACTTTGTAATATAGTCACAGACTTGGTTGACACATATCATTGCATCCCATTTGTGTAGATTGATGCTCATGCTGTTGATCACTGGATTATCTGGTCCAGATTCTATTATTTACAGACAGCTGGAATATTGCTGAGTGTGGCATAAAACTAAACTCACTCACTCACTGCTATATACACACCAAAACATTTGACATAGTCATAACTAACTGACATATACATGACGAGTATTTTGCCATTGCGGGGGATATTGATGACTTTTTCTGCTTGTTTCATTATATATATGCGACATCAATTAAACTTCCACATATAGTGCAGACACAACCTTTGGATTTTGGAGAATATAAATAACTTTGGAATTTTTGGTAAGATCCAGTTGTCCAGCGATAGGAATATCAAGAGATGCTACCCTTAGCTGGTATCCCTGCTTGCTCTCAAAATAGATTTGGCGACACTTGATACTCATTCATTAGCCCCCAAATCAGCCCACACCACTGGCAGTGCAGGACCAGGAGGCGGTGGGGGCAGTATAATATTCTATGAACTGTCACACACAATTAAAGCAGTAATGGGTGATAAGAATCTTTGCATGTGTTGTGAATTTTCAAAGAAATTATCCCTCTGCAGATTTGTTCACTTCTCTGAAAATGAAGAAGGTCTCAGGGCTCCTTTTCATTATAGTTTTATATTTTTTACTATGAACTTTTTCAGTAAAATAGTTCAAAACATCTTTCACATACACCTTCAATTTTTATGAGGGGAATATACCATCAAGTGAAAGGTGTTTGCAAGTAATAGTGATAGTTTTATAATTTAAAAAAAATTGTTAGTGTGTATTTGAGGTGTGTGAAAAATATGACATATCGCCGATCTGTTCTGATACGCCATTGGTGCTTGTGATGCTTGAGTGTTATAGTTCTAAAACTTCTTTCTTTCTTGTTGATCTTAGTATTTGACAAAACTGGAAAGGTGTTTGCAAGGCTTTGTGATAGTTCTTAACTTTCTGTTCTTGAGGGGTCTGTGACAGTGTCAGTTAACATTCTGTCAATGCCCATGTCATTCCACACATGCAATAAGATATCTGAATTAGTTACTAATGTAAAAAAATGTCTCAAAGTAGATTTTTTATAAAAAGGACAGCTGATGTTAACATGTGTTCTACCGATAGTTTTGCGTTCTTTAACATGTTTGGGGAGGGATGGCCGTGGTGTATCATTTATTCTTTCATTCATTCACATATGTTCTTTTTCTTTTGTTCTTTTTCTTAATTTCTTTCATTCATTCACATAAAATTCTTGCTCTTAATTCATTCATTCATTCATTGTAAAATTCCGACCTATACAATACACTGGCTGAAGTACTGTTAAACGCAGCCGAAGTTGCGCTGGGACCGAACCAAGTCACTGTGTGCGTTGGAGCATGACGAGGCACACGTTAATTAGTACAAATGGTAAAGAAAGCAATCGAGTGACCTATCCCTGTTGTAGAGTATCCCTGATTTCAGAGACTAGTTGTTAGTCTAATGAACGCTATGCAGCACCTCCATAGGCCGCAATGATGGAAATCCTTTGTCGCACTTTCGCGCACTCGTTACGACTTTTACGCACGAAAAACGTATATGAATTACTTCTTTGTACTTATACCTTCACGTGCGACCTATTTTCGTTATCAAAATATCCAAAAATATATATTTACAAGCCATCAAACATCTCAGTCGATCGCTCACATATGAGCGGGGCCATTTTGAATCACGTGACGCCAAGGGGATATCCCTCCCAAAAATAGTAACACACGTGTTCCATACCTCGTTGCTTGTTGACAACACATTTTCATAGATTTTAGGCAATTAAAACGATTGTATGGAGATTTTCGTTTCCAATCTAGACTGACTGACCACCCCTGCTTTTTCAACAGCTGTTTTCAAAGGAATTGCTGGTGAGTTTTCAATGCTTAATATAATATAAGATTATTGCTGTCACCTTCACAGTTCCATGGGTGTCTCTGTACTACTCCTGAATATTTGCCTACAAAACACAGTTTACTAATAAGACTTATTAGAATTTAGGAATTAAATAATTAACGAGTTCACAAATCAATTATCTATAAATTTCATTTGTCCCATATAACCTTAAATATTTCTCATTTCACATTTCTCCTACCTTCATCATCATATTTATTTCCTCCTTGGATAGGAGATTAGATGTTGATTACATAAAGGGAATCATGAATTATGAACAAATACTAAAACAAGGGGATACATCTAGAAAGCAATTGTTAAAAGGGGAAGGATCATTCAAATTACAGCACAAAGCCAAGTGTCAAATTCTTAAAATGCGCTCCGCCCGTCCGTCCGTGCACATTCGTCTTTTCCGGAGCAGAACTTCAAAACCGTTCACCATTTCTTCACCAAACTTGGCACAGAGATAGATCTGGTGGTGTACTGGTGCCTTTTGGTAGTTTGGGATTTCTGTATAAAATATTTTTGTGTGTGTTTCCATAGTAACAATTTCGACTTTGACCGTTCAATATTTTTCACCACAAATTGGTATAAATATCAATCAGAACCTCAAGTGGTGCCTTGGCTATTTGCAGATTTTTGACATTTTTTTATTTCTCGGTTCCATGGAAACGATTTGGATTTCTTTTCCAGAGCAACCATCGAAAACCTTTCATTATCTTTCAACAAAACGTAGCAGACATATGAAACAGATCTTGAAGTGGTGCCTTTTGTTATTTGCAAAGTTTTAGTATTTATATTTTTCATGATTTCCATGGAAACAATTTGGACCAAGTCAAAAAGATCAAGTTGGACTATCAGTAACCGTCAGATGTTCTTTCAGATTTCTGGAGCCTGGGGGAATTTGTCATCTTTTGATGACTCTTGTTTTGATAAGTTATAGCAGTGAGTTTCACAAAAAAAAATAGACATGTCCTCAAACACTAAGCTGTAACTATATCTCTTCCATCCCTTTGTTTTTGTCTTGAACTTGCCCTTGCAATGGGCACAGACAATGTCATCCATGGTTTCTTCTCTCAACTTTCAACCTTGAATACCAGTAAATAAAGTACATATCAATGTTAATTATTAATTATCACTTTAATTTAACATGAGTTTAAACTTATACCTTCAAAAGATTAAACTTCATGCACAATTTCATATCCTTATCATTGTTAATGTTCTCAATAAACATCTAATTATTGCACCTTGAAATGCAGACTTTCTAAACTAACACTTCATTGATAATTTGGAAAGCCTGCTATTTTTGCTGTCAAAAGATAAGAGGTACTGTAATGTTTGCAAATGAATTTTCTTCAGTTGACCTAACAAATCAAAGTCTTCTGTCCAATGGTGTATGCACAAGAGTTTAAGTATGATATTTGGCAGTGTGCTGTAATTTGAATGACCCCCTCATTCAACAATTGATTTATTGATGTATCCCCTTATTTTAGTATTTGTTTATAATTCATGATCACAAATAACACTTTTTGGCCACTTGGTTGCTAATATGGAAATGAAAAGATGATTTTGTCAAGGTTTGTAGCTGGTGCTTGAGACCTAATACAACATGGAAATATTTAAAATATTATTCAAGGTAGGAGAGTTGTGAACTGAGAAATATTTAAGGTTTTTGGGTATACATGAAATTTATAGATAATTAATTCGTGAACTCATTAAATATTTAAGTCCTAAATTCAATTAGTGTTTTGTAGGCAAATATTCAGGAGTACTACAGAGACACCCATGGAACTGTGAAGGTGACAGCAATAATCTTATATTATATTAAGCATTGAAAACTCACCAGCAATTCCTTTGAAAACAGCTGTTGAAAAAGCAGGGGTGGTCAGTCAGTCTAGATTGGAAACGAAAATCTCCATACAATCGTTTTAATTGCCTAAAATCTATGAAAATGTGTTGTCAACAAGCAACGAGGTATGGAACACGTGTGTTACTATTTTTGGGAGGGATATCCCCTTCGCGTCACAGGTCACGTGATTCAAAATGGCCCCGCTCATATGTGAGCGATCGACTGAGATGTTTGATGGCTTGTAAATATATATTTTTGGATATTTTGACAACGAAAATAGGTCGCACGTGTAGGTATAAGTACAAAGAAGTAATTCATATAAGTTTTTCGTGCGTAAAAGTCGTAACGAGTGCGCGAAAGTGCGACAAAGGATTTCCACCATTGCGGCCTATGGAGGTGCTGCATAGCGTTCATGTCAGTGAACGCTATTTATCTTAGCTAACCCCAGGTGGGCTTGTTCCATCCCTATTTTTAGGGATAATCACCGGAATGACCCATTATCCTTGTTTCTAGGGGTGTCCTGAACCTGTTAACCAAACAATAACTGCACTGTCTGCCCCTGCCATTGTTCGACAGTTCGTTTCGTTTCCTACCAGTCCGACGAAACCAACTTGGTTTCTATGGCATCGCTAATTTTCCCGGAGTGGTTGGCGTTATAGATGGAACCCACATTCAGATTATGGCACCATCCCAGCACGAACCTGCTTATGTGAACAGAAAGCAGTACCACAGCATCAGTACTCAGGTTGTCTTTGACAGGTTCGGTACAACCCCCGAACGGGTACTTGAGCCCGTTCGGGAACTAACACCCCGATCGGGATAATAAAATCGCCCTCAAAGTGCAGAAAAACCATGTTTTTCTCCACCCAAGGGGCAATTCACATCGGCGCATTATGGTGTCTTGTTATACATGTCAACGAAACCTCCAACTAGGCAATGGTTACACGCAAGTTCCCAAATGATGCCGCATTTTGGGCGCTACCCCCTCGAAACAGAGAACCCCTGTGGTGAATGTTACACATTTAGGCCTATAAATGCTTCATTAAAGTCATTCGTTGCAGATGTTTGAACAGAAATGCAATTGTCCCTCACCACACTGTCCTTGTCGATCGGAAGTAAATGCCCAGCGCCCTCTCGTTAGCGACAAAAGGGGGAAACAACTCCAGCAGCGGTTCATCTGCTTGAAAGTATGGGAACATATTTAAGCAATAAATCGTGTTTTTAATGTACGTTAATATCAAGTGAACGTAGGTGGAATTGTCGCTACCATGAGGTCACAACTCCATATGTGTAATATCATAATGCCATTTGACTTCGCATGTAATTACTATTAACATAAGTATCATCGCTTCATCATCTAGTTGTCTGTACACTATCATGGTATTTTCGTTTACAAAGCAAACATATTTTCGTCCCTTTGCATTACTAACCGTTCAAGTGCAATGTACAGTGGCATGTTCAATGACATGTATGGATTCATAACATAAAATGCTATTCATGATCCTTTTATTATTTCAATCTTAATTCTGGTTCACATAAGGCGCGAAATCATTATGTCACAACTGCGCCTCCATATTTTTTTGCTGGTGTGCCACTCCAGCTTAGATTATCGCCCTTTGTAGGCAAACAAAGGGCGCTTGGCAGTTACTTCCGGATAAGATTGAAAGTGTGGTGAGTGACAAGTGCACTTGAGCTTAAATAATGGCATAAAATGACATAATTGATATATTTTGAGACCATAATGTGTATAAGTTGTGCAAGGGGTCCTCTGTTTCGAGGGGGTAGCGCCCAAAATGCGGCATCATTTGGGAACTTGCGTGTAACCATTGCCTAGTTGGAGGTTTCGTAGCCGAGAGCCGCGATGCGGTCCTATACAGTCAAGACATGACCCTGCATCACGGCCGAGAACACCACCTTCATAAATCCTATTCAGATTCTAGTGGCCGATTACCCCTCGTATTTTCTTGAGATTTTTTAAATATATTTCCTGTGGGTTTTTGACAGAAAAGTCGACATCGATGTACTCCCAGATAAATTCCCTATACATACACGTAACTGTCATATTTTTGTGATCATACATTTAGATATTAATGGGCCTGAAACCCGTTGAGTTCTTGTTTCAACGATAGCGAGCTGACATGTTGACATGTTGTGCGCATGCGCCAAATTTCTATAGTCTGTATCGGAGGACATTCTTCATTAGCGGTACGCAATACTCACTTTCGCCTCCCGTTTCGCGCGCTCGTACTTTGGGTGAATCACACTTATGTATATTATATTTATCTGCATTTATGTCATAAATTACAGATTTTCCTTGCAGGGAGGATTCCATTCATATCTCTACAAAAAGATGTGTCCATGAAATCAAGCAGATTTATTAATATACAACGTGGTGCAAAGGTACTATTATGGAGATAATTTTTTGTGTAGACGTAATGTTTGTTGCAAGGTATATGCAATTCAGACGTGATTACATTTTTTTCTTTAAATCCAAAAAATGATGTGATTCTATTCTACTTTTAGTTTAGTACCGGATTTATTTTCTGTCTATTTTATAAGGTTGTGTCTCAATAGTTTTACCTGTGTACATTCAAATAACAAACGAATGATATTTTCAGTTTCAGCATTGCACAAAGAATATACAGAATATGCTACAATTTTATATATGAACATGTTTTTATCTGTTGTCAGCATTCTATGAATAATGTGGTGTTGGAATTATCTTAACTTTGTCTTATTCGTTGTTCTTAACGGTAAATAGTTTTCCATCCAATTATATTTCTATATTTCAGTATAAATATCAGTTTGCCATTGTTATTGACTATTTCTTTCCCTTCAAGGCAGTTATCCATAACACAACAGCATAGATTATCTGCATGCTTTTCCCTCCATGTATAAAGTTCTGAGGTTACATGGATCGAATGGTTCTTCCAATATGCTATCAAATGATACAGATTCTTTCCATATATTGTTTTATAGATTTGATAAGATCTGTATGTTCTCAAAGAAAAATACTTTAAAGGATATATTAGTACAACAGAATGTGTTACTTTAGGAAAGTTATTAATATATGTTTAAATGTATATACACACATATGTATAAGGAATTATCATGGTTATGAAATTTGTATTATATCTTTTTATTGACAATGGTGTTTAATGATTCACTAGGTGCGCGCTTGTCACAAACGTTTAACAATATACTCGTTTTGTTTTTTTATAATATACACGGCGTAATCACTAAATATTGCCAATAATCCCAAGACATGATATTAAACTGTTCACTTTATTTCTGCAAGAACTACCAAAAACTTAAAAAAACATTACATGTCCTTCTTTTGCCCAATCGCAAGCATCCCTCTGATAGTTCCGTACCAAAGGGGTATTTATGTGTTCACCTTTCTTCGTATAAATATGAAGAGAGTAGCCACATGATAATGAAGAGAGTAGCCACATGATAATGAAGAGAGTAGCCACATGATAATGAAGAGAGTAGCCACATGATAATGAACATTCCGAGACCTGACCCGGTCATAATATTGGAACATAAATATTATATTTTGAAATATTTTCTTTGATTTTCGCGAAACCGAAGCGAAACAAGTGCGCGCGTTGTACACAGTAAGATACATGGTAAACTGTCCAATCGTTTATCTATCCAGGACATTATTCAAATGGTGAGTGAGTGAGTAAAGATTATAGTCACACCGGCAATATTTTAGCTATATCGTGACTAAAACAATTCATTTATCACTCCCTCCAACCCACCCCACGGCATGTAATTTTGTTTCCAGAGTCTTAATTCAAAAACCGTTCAATATTTTTCAACAAGAAGATCATTTGACAGCTACTTAAAGTCCAACTTGATTTTCTTTTAGACTAAGTCAGAATCGTTTACATGGAAACCGGGGAAAATATGAATGTCCAAAATCCGCAAATAGAAAAAGGAACCACTTTCGGGTATGTCTCATATACATGTATCTAATAAGTTCTGTTGAAAGATATTGAACGGTTTTGAGTTGTGTTCCGGAAACGAAATGATTTCGGACGGACGGACGAGACGTAGACTATAAAAAATGCATATACATGTATCTACAAAACAGATCGATCAAATTTTATCGATCAGGTCAATTTCTTTTATAACATCAATAAATAAATGACAGTTAACATTATTAAAGAGATCTTTAACCGTTTTGGCACTGAAATATGTATCCTTTGTGATGGAAAAATATACAGTCAAGCAGGTCATGTTTGGCTGCGATTCTTTCATCACGTGGGACACTAAGCGGAGGATCCTCACCTTTTAGTAAATATTAATGCGTATATCTTGTGTGGCCAATACGACATCTTCGCATAATAACCTCGTCAACTGATAGTTGGTTTTATTGAATGTAATTTATTCATACCTACTTGTGTGCACATGTCCAACTTATTCTGCCACAATGTGGGAAACCCATTTCTGGTGTCCCCGCCGTGATATTGCTGGAATATTGCTAAAAGTAGCGTAAAACAATACTCATTCACTTCTTCTCCATCAGATTACGAATATAACATTTAATGATAGCTAAAAAACATTTGATACTATGATAAACCGAGATTTTTATACCTTGAACGGAAATTAGGTGAGATATATACTAAACAATATACAGATGTCATCTTTCTCCGGCGTTGCCACATATTTACAACATGCAACTATTGTGGTGTCGTATTTTCAGAAATTTCATTACATTTGAAATTAAGGCTCGATCTCTGTTAATAAGGATGCAACGTTAGTCAAAATACATCTACATAATCAAAAGAGTTTGGGAATCTAACAACTAATTTCTAGGTAGATAGGACCATCCATTTAGCTATTACCTCCTTTCTCATGTGCGATTTCCTAATTCTTTATAATTTGTGATAATAACAAAACGTATCCGGTTACGATGTGGATTTTTGTATTGAAAAAGATTGGTTCATCGTGTATATATATGTGTGTGTGTGTGTGTGTGTGTGTGCTCTCTGTCGTCGCTTGACGTCAGAGGAAAATTAACTTTCGTCAAGCCATTTTTCATATTGAACGTAGAAAGTTATACATAAGCATACAAATCCATTTCATATATTGTTATGTCGTTCAGATATCAAGCAGTATTTTATTCGCACAAAGTTTCATTAAAGATGCCAAATAAAGAAATCGTCGCGCTGTAAACGGAGACATTTACTGCTTTTCAGACAACCTTTAACAAAGTCTACTTTCCAAACCGCCTGTGTATTTGTGCTTCAAATTTACATCACCGGATAGGAAATTAAATACTCTACATATCTGTGTTATAGCCGTAGCTAGAAGCAGTGCCTCACTAACGCAATTCTCGCTCAACGTTCATTTTTCAGAACTTCAGAGAAAATACACCTCGGCATCCATGGGGTTAAGTCTTCGGTGCACTGCGTTGTATATTAATACATCTGCTAGATCCCAAGGACACATCTTTTTGTAGAGATATGAATGGAATTCTCCCTGCAAGGAAAATCTGTAATTTATGACATAAATGCAGATAAATATAATATACATAAGTGTGATTCACCCAAAGTACGAGCGCGCGAAACGGGAGGCGAGAGTGAGTATTGCGTACCGCTAATGAAGAATGTCCTCCGATACAGACTATAGAAATTTGGCGCATGCGCACAACATGTCAACATGTCAGCTCGCTATCGTTGAAACAAGAACTCAACGGGTTTCAGGCCCATTAATATCTAAATGTATGATCACAAAAATATGACAGTTACGTGTATGTATAGGGAATTTATCTGGGAGTACATCGATGTCGACTTTTCTGTCAAAAACCCACAGGAAATATATTTAAAAATTCTCAAGAAAATACGAGGGGTAATCGGCCACTAGAATCTGAATAGGATTTATGAAGGTGGTGTTCTCGGCCGTGATGCAGGGTCATGTCTTGACTGTATAGGACCGCATCGCGGCTCTCGGCTAGAGGTTTCGTTGACATGTATAACAAGACACCATAATGCGCCGATGTGAATTGCCCCTTGGGTGGAGAAAAACATGGTTTTTCTGCACTTTGAGGGCGATTTTATTATCCCGATCGGGGTGTTAGTTCCCGAACGGGCTCAAGTACCCGTTCGGGGGTTGTACCGAACCTGTTTGACCACAGTTCACACATCATTGATATTGTTGCGAAATGGCCCGGGTCCACTCATGACTCGCGCATACTGACCGAGAGCGGCGTTTGTGCTTTGTTCTCTCGCCACCTGATGCCTGCCCGCTGCCACTTGCTTGGAGATAGTGGATATCCATGTAGAGACTGGCTCCTCACGCCCTATCTTCAGCCAAATCCCGGCTCTCAGACAGCATACAACAGGTAAATCGAATCTTGTCTTTTGGTTAGTCGATTAGAGTTATGCCCCCTGTCAAATATGACTATAAAAGTGTAACTGGGTTGAGTTAAAAAATTGATGTTTTTCTTTCCTGGAACAATCTACAATCCTAGAATACATCAAAAACTTTCTGACAAATACGTAATGAAATGACAGTAAACATAAAAGAATGCTTTAGGGCTGAATAGATTATTTATCTACATCGATATCATGTTATTTATTTACATGCCAGTTACAAATTGCAAAATATGCTATTGCAGATTTTAAAATAATCTTCATAACGTTTGATTTTGTGACAGAGCTCATAAGAGGACACGCAGCATAGTGGAGAGGGGAATAGGGCAACTCAAGCGGCGCTTTCATGTGTTGCATGGAGAAGTTAGATTAACCCCAGAAAAAACATGCAAGGTAAATGCCAGTATAAAATAATAAATGTGGAATACAGTTATTCATCTTCGTAAAACCAATGTGATTTGTAATCAAACTGTGCTTTATTACTTAACTGTTCACAAGTAGAAAATAATCTTATATAATATTTATGTTTGATGTATATTTTATTATTCTTAAAATGTATTTGAAGCATGTCTTGTATGTGTGTGTGCTTCCATGCATGTGTATGTATGTGAAGTGTTAATATATAGGTTTTTTAAACACTCCATTTATATCTTCTTAACATCATCCATTAAATTGTATTGAATTATTCAAACAAAAGAATGACAACAGATAAAGCATGTTAAGAATGATGGTCTTCCAGTGAAACATATACAAATATATGAGAAGTAATATACAGAAATGAGAAACAAGATATCTTACCGGTATGTGGCCCCACACAACACTATTGACAAAATAATAACAAGATAACAATTTTGAATGAAAACAACTTTTATTTACATGCAATTACTTTTCACAACAGGTCATCACATGTTGTGCAGTTTTGCACAACATATGCAAGCTGCGAAGTATCCCCTTGCCTGATGGTGAGTCGATTGACCCAGATGACGACGACCAACCACAGGTTATACCACAGTTGTCTGGACATAACCTGATTTACAGGGATCACTTTGCCAACACTCACTTCTAAGGTAAGGCAAATTATTAAATATTTTTAGCAACAAGACAGTAAAAGATTTGGTACTAAATTAATTAAACTTGAATATAAACATAATTTGAAACTCACAAAGAATGTAATCGATATTTTCATTCTATGGTTGCTATATGTGAAGGAGACAGACAGATATTTCATTCAGTAATGGGCCACTGGCCCAAAATACATTAATAACTGTATATATTATGCATAAAGTTAAATGCGTTTTACAGAAAAGACATCAGATATATTTATAACATTTATGTTTGTTGAAGACATTACGTTGACAGAACTGTGTCGTGATGGAGGGTGTTTCCAATATTTATCAAGAAATGTATTCCTCATATCTGGGTAGGCTTTACAAAGAAGTAAAACATGTATTTCATCTTCAATTAAATTAAGATTAATGTTTTTGAAAAACCATCAATATCTCCAAAGTCCTGTGAAATCCAAACAAAGCCAAACCCAAATCTAAATTAAAAAATATTCTTGATATGAGATGCCCATGTCATGTGTCCAGATTCATCCAAAGACTCTAACATTAAATAAATTTGATGTGGTAATCTACATCTTGGTCTACACCAATATTTACGTGACCTTGACATATAAGTAAGTTGAAGAGGGAATCTCCCACATTCACCCAGAATATTACAGACGGACAGATATTCTTATTCAGTAAAGGGGCGTCAGTTACTGAGCATATTTTAAGCTGCTCCTCTTCTCTACATGATAGAGGAAATTTCCAACATTATATAGAGTGAGAGTACTTGTGTTTGAATCTTTTAAGATATTAACAACAGACATATGATTATATATCAATAAGGTATTTGTTTCTAATATCAACATATAGTGCACATTCAAGCAAAATATGATATATTTCCTCAATAATATTGACATTATTCTTTTTACAGTGGCTGCACAGCCTTAGATGTCTATCAGCATTAGTGTATCTTCCTGTTTCTATGGCAATTTTAAAATCTGAGCATTTAAATCTGGAATAGCATTTCTTACATGTAAAGGTAAATCACAACATAAGTACTTTTCAACATTCAACAAATATTTGTAGGCTTTGTAGAGATAACATTTATGTGAAGATTCCAGAGGAGTACCATGACTCCTGTAAATTATCACATAACCTCTTTTTGAACATAGATATGAAAGCCTTTGAATCTGCAACATTGTCACTAAGCCAAGCATAACCCAAACCCAAACCAAATTGAAACAGTACCGTATATGTTTAACCTTACTAGCGCATGTACTTCTCCCACACTCATCGAGTGCCTTAAGCATCATGTGGATACCTACATTAGGCTTGAACCATGTTTAATGAAGTAGATTTGTTGACTTTAAGAAAATATTTGCAAGAACCATATTGTTACAAGTATTTTGGCCAGCTTTTAAGAAATATGTACATTTTGAGAAGCATGAGCAGTCTTCTACTCTTCCATAAATTTCTTTAGTTTGTGTTCCATCATTTTCTTTTTTAGTTCAAGAACCTCAATTTCTAATTTCATCTTCTTATGATACAGTTCATCACATTCAAGGCATGGTTCAAGATTGGATCTCCTTGCTGGGGGAGCACATCTTCCACTACTTGGTGCCTCAGTGACTGTGTGTATGGCCTTGACAGTGGGAACTGCTGCATCACTCGGATTGCTTGGAGTAACCACCACATCTGCCACACTGGTGACCATTTCCAGGCACCCTCCCACTGCTGTCAGTGCCTGGATGTCTAAAATTGACATGGCATCACTGAAATTTAAATAAACTATAATCAGTTTTACTTGTTATCATGTATTCAGGTCACAGTTTATATGCAGTTATTTATATAATTCATTTTATATTATGTCAAGGCTAAGGGTCTTTCATATAGGTAAGACTAAGTAGGGATCACTTTTAGAAGGGTTTTGGGTATAATACCCACTTAAAATTATAAATATCAAACATTAAAGGCAGTCAAGGGATAAATGTTGGAAAGAGAGCTTTATTAATCTTCTTGATATGTGATTTTTACATTTTGGATTTCGTCAATAGTTTATTTTGAAAATAAAATTTGTTATCAATATTTGGAATGTGATGCAACCAATTTTATTGAAGGAATTATCTAATGACATACAGTAAAGCTGAATGTTTTGACAAACCTTGACTGAGTAGACTCATTTATCTGCAGTAGAGTTGAGTCCATTGAATCTGGTATTCCTGATATGGACACATTGTCCTTCCCAAGTATGTCCCACACGACTTCTGCTGTTTCAGTTAAAAGTGGACAAGGTGATGGCCCACAACCTGCAATGTATAGATAATTACATAATTACCCATAGGTTGAAACATAATCAGACGTAAACGAAATTCATTTTTTTCATGAGGGTCTATTCAACTTATTTTGTCAGGGGTGATTTTTTGGGGTGATTATATTTTGTTCAATTCAAGACCATGTAAACAGCCTAATTTGCACACTGACCAATGTCATTTATCACTTGCACTTCTTTTGGTAAGCTCTAAATAATGTCACATGCTAGTAAGTAATAATATGATCTGACATTGCCTATATAATCTATACTCATACATCATTCTCTCATTATTATTATTACCATTGTGGCAGACACCAGTTCTGAATAGTTTGTTGTGAATAGTATATATTGTAAATAATATATTATGATACATATGTATCACTGATTGCCATCTGTATCATTGGTGCCACAAAGTGATAATTAATTATTGTATTGAGAACATGTAATGTACTTTATAACAATGATCCATGTTCATTGTATACCTCATGTATAGTACCCATAAATAGAGTTATAAGCCCTTGATGAATTCTTTATGTAATCAAGACAATGATTTGATGCCTCATTAACAAAGATATTTATATGCGAATGTGAATGTGTAATTGTAAGTTACTCATTATGTGAAAGATGCATCATTTTTATGATATTACCTTATGTTATTGTTTTGTGTATTGCAGGGTGTCGTTACCTCTCTAACTGCAAATAAAACCTCACACCCGTAGCCAGTGTTTGAACGTCATTCTTACCCATCACAACCCGGTTACACCATGACCATTTATTACTCAATTTATACTCCTTCAAAGTAATCACTTTTCTTCACACACACACTGTCCAAAATCAATAAGTATGGACCATAAATCTATATTTGAGCTCTTACCTGTAGATACAGCCCCTTTCTTATATGCTGCAATTTCAGACTTGGACTTCGACTGGGTATTATGCCACTTTTTCTCAACTTCGTCATTTGTCCTGACACATCCTGGGAGAAAATGAAAAAAACATTTCATGAAACAACTGAGGACACAAATATGAAATCAAATATTTTCATTTACATTAAATTCACATTTTTAAATTCATGATGTAATGGTATTGACAACCCAATTATGATATTAACAAAGGTTCAGTCTGAAGGTATGATTAATATTAGTGGGTCACATTTCACAATATTAGTGCTATTTTCAAAATACTATTGTTAATATTAACATGAAAACATATAAACGTTGACTCTGTGTATGCCTCTGGTTGGAATTGAACCAACTCCACAAAATGGACTGCCATTCAAAAGCTTTAAGGGAGTCAAAATAATGAACAATAAATCATAGGGGTCAGTGTTTGATTAAATAAAATAATGGTACACATGAGAAATATTCTGCAAACACAACAAAACGAATGGGTCATTTCTTCATGAAAAGTACTGCAGTACAATAAAAGGATAATGTGTGAGTCTTTCACACTGGGTAAAATAAAATGAAAATGTGTGAGTCTTTCACACTTGGGTAAAATAAAATGATACATGTGTGATTACTTCACACTTGGGTGAAATAGAATGTTTCATGTGTGATTCCTTCACATGAAAACCTGCGATAGAAATATCTTACCTGCCTTGATAAATACCTGAATATCAACCTATATTTCTAAGATAAATTTACAGAATTATCAACATGTCAAACCAACCCTAATTCACTGTTATCATTTTCATTCACAAAAAAATCTACATTTGACTAGATACAACAAAACTGGCCCAAATAAATTACTTTAATGTTATTTCAATGAACATACTAAGCATGTCGGTTGTAGTATACTTGTAAGCTGTTACAACAGAAGATGTGTAACATTTGATTTCAGTATTTGTTACTTCAAATAATTATAATCAGTTGATATGCACAAACAATATGATGTTTGAATGCATAAATCCAATATCACTCGTCAAAGTTTTGATGGTAAGAGTTCCGCCCGTAACCCCCACTTGAAATGTATTCTATTTATTAGGATTATTTCAAGGGTTTAGGGTAATGTTTGGGGTTGGATTTTAGGGTTTTAGGTTAGGTATAGCCTGTTCATAAAAAACATAGGCGGATATTCTCAGGCATATAATGATTAGAAATAAATACGGGGGTTACGGGCGGAAATCCTTCCGCTTTGAGATGGGTGATCGAAAATAGCACGTGAACTATCTCGCTTTTAAACTTGCACTTACTTCAACGTTTAAATTCTTAAAAATCAATAAATATTACATTAATTATTGTAGGAGGCAAATACTTTACAGTTGCATATACAAGGTGATAACATTTTAAAGAGCACTCAAAATTTACGATCGTCACTTACCTGTGAAGGTGGCATTATCTGCTTAGTGTAATATGCGTCCAAATTTCCTTCTTTCGCGCAGATGTCACACCCGGTCCAAACTTGCCGAGTAACACAGCCTTATTTTCCTCAACAAGGCGAGTTAAGTACAACGTCTGTTCGGCCGTCCAGTTGGGTTTTCTGACACTTTTCTTCTCCATTCTGATTGTTGTCGTCTGCGTAAGTTTTTTTCTATCTCCACGCGAGGAGAGTTCAACTATGCTATTAATAGATACGGGGATTTCCAATACGTCATCTAAGAATATTCTTAGCATAAATTTGTATCCCATAATCCCATGCGTTTCTCACTAAGAAAATTCTAAGAATTTTAAAATATCTCAGCTAAGATTTATGCTTAGTGGCTTGGTGGATTGCTACTTAAGATAAATTCTCAGCTAAGAATTCTTAAGGAAACTTAAGCATAAATCTAAGAAAATTCTAAGAAGTTTAGTGAATCCGGCCCCAGGACCCTACCACCTTGCCATTCGACTCATGGTGCACCAACTGGAACTGGATCATCGATGTGCCCTCGGTTGCGGTGAGTTAATTTTACAGTCACTCTTTTCATGTTTATGTACATTTTGATATTCACTCGATTAAAATACTGTGTTACTCAAAAGTAGCGGGCTTTTGAGAAACGTGATTCAGTGTTCCAACAGAGAATCCCGGTGACAGGGTTTTTTCGACGATGTAAGACAAAAACATAATTTTACTTTACTAACCTTGAGTGAAAAGCGATATATTTATCTATTTAACACAAAAAATATTAAGTGTTTCCTACAAAAATAGCGTTGATGATATCATATCAGCGAAACATCTCCACATCTGGGATTTGTATACATTTCGCTCCGCCATGCGAGTGAGTGTTGTGATCATGTGGCTTCCTGTTTATATCTGGTATATTGCTTGTCACCAGCAGACGACAGATCTTACAGATTTTTTGCTATATTTGGTTATATAGGCAATTGATTTGCATCTGAAGTGGTATTAACGATCTCGGGTAAATAATATTGATATTTTTTGCATCCGCCCCTAGGCACCCGACTCTGATATATGTATATGTATGATCTATATAATCTCTGTGAAATTGGCACATAAGTGAAAATGTCGTCAAAAACTGACTTCTTTTACTGGTGATTCTGAGAGGCGTCTCTCGGACGCGTAACGGATCTGTGAGGACAGTTTGTTTGTCTGTGACGAGCAGTGGGAGGAAAGTAGACATGTTTCAACGCGATGGCACACCTATGTGCGTTCGTGTACAAGAAAAAGTACTTACATTGGGTAAATCTACATTGAATAAGCTTTCAGAAAATATTAAAATCATATTTCTGTGAAATTGGCACATAGGTCGAAATTGTCGTCAAAAACTGACTTCTTTTGCTCGTGATTCTGATAGGCGTCTCTCGTACGCGTAACGGATCGATGAGGAAGGTTTGTTTGTCTATGACGAGCATTTGGAGGAAAGTAGACATGTTTCAACGCGATGGCACACCTATGTGCGTTCGTGTACATGAAAAGGTATTTACACGAGGCAAATCTACATTGAATAAGCTTTCAGAAAATATTAAAATCATATTTCTGTGAAATTGGCACATAGGTCAAAATTGTCGTCAAAAACTGACTACTTTTGCTCGTGATTCTGAGAGGCGTCTCTCGTACGCGTAACGGATCGATGAGGAAGGTTTGTTTGTCTATGACGAGCAGTGGGAGGAAAGTAGACATGTTTCAACGCGATGGCACACCTATGTGCGTTCGTGTACATGAAAAAGTACTTACATGGGGTAAATCTACATTGAATAAACTTTTTTATTTATTATACGACCCCCACCTCGAGGAGTTACCTCCCGTTGCGCATGCGCACCAACTGGGTAAGCACCTAGGCCCGAATCATCATTCCTTCTGCTGTCTCTACCGTGTGTAGACGTATGTGTCGAGCAGCGCTGTACTCTTCAGAACTAAAGAGAATTATGTCTGAGACGCCACCACCTGTATGTATGGTCTTTATTTTGTCCTTGTAAAGGAACAGTAAAGCTTTGCGGTCGGTTGTTTCATAATTGTGACTTTGTATTAATTATTTTACGTTTACTTTCCCGTGGTTTACGCACATGTTGCTCTGCCATGGCGGGAAGTTTAGCGTGCCACGTGGTTGTAATATTGCGTATTGAACCAACTATTTCTTCCCATGGTAGCCTTCACGTATTTTTCAATGTTTTCTACGAGTATATTAGACTGCTGGTCCGCTGGTAGCTACATGCTTGCGTGTTTGCTTTCAGGCGTTTTCTTCATGTTCGGTCTGTGGGCAAAGTATCCCCAGGGCCGACCGCCATGATAAATGTATCGTGTGCCTGGAGAAAACCGACAATATCTCGGAAACTTGTGAGATTTGTATGGGTTTCTCCCCCCGGGCCCAGAAGAGGCGGTAGTAGTTCCTCTTCTATAGAGAGATTCGTGAGGCGGGAGGGGAATTGACCCAGGTGCCCCCGTCCAAAGCGAAAAAGCCTAGAAGTAAAGGCAGAAAGTCGCGCAGTCAGTCGCCTACACCTGCTCCTAGTAGTGGATTTGATATGTCTCTGATTACTCAGTTATTCCAGCAGCACATGGACTCGGTGAAGTCCCTTGTTCACGAGTCGGTTGGAGGGCTCCGGCAGGAGTTCCTCGCCCTCTCGTAGCAGGGGGCGGAGAGTCTGGGGGTGGGATCGCCGAGCCCGACTCGATCCCTTGGCCTTGAGGCGTCTGTCGATCCGTTGCCTCTGGCTTCGGGTCCGGACGCCTCGGCTGCCCCGGAGGGGGAGGCTTCGCTCCCAGTCCCCCTCTCGGAGTTGGCGCAGGGTCCGTTGAGGATTCCTGGGGTTCCGGTCCCTGCGCCGTCCCGCCCATGAGAGCGGAGGCACCAGTTCTGCCTGGTCTGCCTCCAGCGTCTCGGGACCGGGGTCCGTGCGTGATGGCAGGCGCTGACGCGGGGCGCTCTGTCTGTTCTTCCCTGTCTTCTGTGCCTGGTGCTAGGCCGCCCACCGGGTCGGGTTCGGGTCCTCTTCGCGAGGAGAGCCAGCCTCGGACTCGGGCTCGGGCGACGAGTCCATGGATACTGGGGAGGTTGAGGAGCAGGAGGGTGCCTTCCGTTTTCCGTCGGCTTTGAGGGAGGTCCGGCAACGCATTGGACTC